AAAACATGCAAGTGATTTATTTTTCCTTGCACTCCTGGTTTAGTGCACAACCCTGCTCCTTAGGCAGCATCACTGACTGCTGTACTCTGCTGTCTCCTACTGCTGCTCCTGTCCTGTCAGTCCAGTTCATGCTGCCAGTGTTAAATGGCACCTCTAGAAGTGTCAGGAGAACTTGCCAGTGGGGAGCTATCCCAAATTGTACCTGTTCACCTCAAGCTTTTGTTTTGAAAACAAGCTTTAAGCATTGAAATGCTTGCCTAGCACAGTGTGTTTTAAATCTTAAGTTATGTCATATTTAGGAGAGGGAAGATTCCAAAATGGGCATGTTTTTTGTCTAATTTTCAGCTTCTCTAACCTTCTATCTGTAGGATGATCCTCATGATCACTCGTTTGGACCAATAGCTACCAGTGGAAGCAATCTCTATGATGCAATAAGGATGGGATCGGGTTCAAGTATAATTGAAAACCTTCAGTCACAGCTAAAACTAAGAGAAGGAGAAATTTCACATCTACAGGTATCTTCAGAAAGCTTGGTCAGTGTTAGGAGAATTCTGTGAAACAGCACAGCTGTGTAGGGATGAGCACAAGAAGGGTTTGTTGGTTCCTTTTTTGTTTTGGCAAGGAGCTATCCAGAAAACCTATCTGTTTGAAAAGTAAAATATCCAGGACACTGAGATTTGAGGAGAAAGAGTGGAGCTGTGTTGTTTCACAGTCTGGCTTAAGAATAAGCCTTAATTATACTTGTGTTTTGATGTGGTATTTTATAAATACAGTGAATTCTTTCCTTCTCCTCCTTGTTATGTGTTTTCACCCTAGCTGGAAATTGGAAACCTGGAGAAAACTCGATCAATAATGGCAGAAGAGCTGGTTAAATTAACAAATCAAAATGATGAACTTGAAGAAAAAGTGAAGGAAATACCCAAACTACGCACACAGTTAAAGGTAAGTGCATTTCTGGTGTAACTCCACCGTAAAATGTAAATAATTTCATTTCTTTAGGAGTAGTCCTATCAGTTTAGGAATATATTCAAGCATATATATGTTTCTAATCATAAGTGACTGAGAGCCTGGGTTTTGATAGGGGTTTTTTATATGTATAGTAGAATCTAAAAATGCCCACTCCATGTTAGAGAGTCACTTCAAAACACAGTTGTTGGAAATATGTGCTGTGCATAAGACTATGTGCTAAGTCAAGGAGAGACCATTTTTGTTTCTATCATTAGGAGCTTGTCTGGAACTGGATTTTTTAGTAGAGGGAGGGTTTTGATTGATAGCATGGGTTTGAGGTTAATGCAGAAATTGAATATATATGTGTGGTAGATATACAGGAAATAGGACAAATAACTGAATCCTAATGTTTAAGAATTTAAATTGAATATTTGAAGAGTTTTGGAATAATTTTTTAATACAGAGTGTTCAGTTTTCTCATGAAACATTTCCCAAACTTTTCATTCCTGTAGTGCAGTTTTCTGTTTTTAATGCTTATAGCAACTGAACTTCAAGGTGCTTCAGTAGGGCCCTCTGAAACCAGCACTAATTATTTTTATGATCTTTGGAATATCTTCCTTTAACATCTAGACTATAAATCTAGCTATATTCAAAGCACAGAGTACTTTTGAAGAGTTTACTGTGTGCTTCACTGTGGTTACACTTTGATGAGGTAGTGCTGCACTTATTTCCCCTGGCAGTGTCAAACACTGTCCCAGCAGCAGCTTGTTTGAAGCTGAGAATAAAAACCAGTGAGGTAACACCGTGTGTCCTTGCAGGATTTGGATCAGAGGTACAACACCATTCTCCAGATGTATGGGGAGAAGGCAGAGGAGGCTGAGGAGCTCCGACTGGATCTGGAAGATGTGAAAAACATGTACAAGACTCAGATAGATGAACTTTTGAAACAAAGACAAAATTAATTCCTCGTGGAACTGTTAGCATTGTATGGTGACAGACTGTAAAGATAACTGTTTATGTAAATGCTGAATTTAAATGTCTTGTAAAAAAACCCTGTATCATAGAAATTGTGACTATATAATAGAGTTCATATGTTGACAGAAGAATCAATGCTTTAAGTGTCCTGTTCTGTCTGCAGTTAAATTATTTGTGCAATATTTAATTTTTTTCTTCAGTCATCCCTTTATTTAAGTTTTTGCTAAATGGTGGGTCATTTTACATAAACAGGAGAAATTATGGTTGTTACCTTGTGAGACAGCACTGGAAGGCATGAGTAGTACTAAAGCAGCCCTTGATTCATAATCTTTGTAAACCTATGAAAATCACATTAGAAGTCTTTCTCAAGTGTTCATAAGAGTTTTTCTAAAATCTCATCAGATAATTTTTAATAACTAAGTATCAGGGACTTGCTGTCTGAAGCATTCCTGATGGATATTTTATGACATGAAATCTTAGATTTGTGCTTACAACATCTGAACATGTCAGGGTGATTATTCTTAGACAAATCAGATTAGTCTGACTGCATAACACTAAGTCCTTTAAAGCAGAGTGTGAGACTCAGATGAGACTTCAAATTACAGCTTCACCTTTTATATTGCTTGTGCTCTCTGGAGACAGCAGCTCTGCTTGTAATGATAAATGTGTTCAACTTTTAAAACCAGAAATCTGAGCTGTTAAATATCTATTCTAGATTTAGTAGCTGATTTTTAACAATAGCTAGAACTGTTCAGAAGAATGAAGGAAACTGATTTTTTAAAAATAATTTGCTGCACATCTCATGGTTCCTTTTTATAAGTTGCAAGGGTTAGACTTCTTGTAAAACTGAACTGTGGCTTAGTCTCTGAACTGAGCAAGTCTCCAGTGGCTGCAGAGTATTTCTCATGCCATTCCTTGAGCGAGGTATTGGTCAAGCAGCACTCACGTGACTTGGAGTTGAGCTGCATTTTTGGTAATGTCAGAGGAAATGTTTGAATGGGACCCTTGGGAATGCTGAGAAGAAGCTGTCGTCTTCCTCTCCGCATTCCAGAGAGCAAATATTTTGCTGCATCTCAGAACCTACTCGTGTGAAATACTGGGCAGTTGAAATTCTTTGCTTATCACACCAGTGCCTCTGTCGGGAGAGGTTTTTTTTTTCCCAGACCAGTGCACGTTGTAATTTGGGAACTCTTTTCCTGCTTGGGTATTTGGTGGCCTGACACACAAAGGATGTGAAGGATGAGGAGTTGCTTCTGGAAAAATGCCTCTTGGTAATATGACTTTACTATGGGTCTTAAGGATTTATTCCTCACTGGGAGAACAGGATTTATTCCTCACTGAAGTTACACAGGCAATGGAAAACCCTAGTCTGATTTGAGATTCAGGCAATTACTCTGTGAAGATTTCACTGAAGCCATAGAGCCAGAACACTTAATTTTGTTGTAACTCCCCATCTGTCATAGAAATTTCTAACTGCTTTAATAAAAATACTTTTTTCTCTTCCTTTTTTTTTTTTTTTTTTTTTTTTTTTTTTTTTTTTTTTTTTTTTTTTTTTTTTTTTTTTTTTTTTTTTAGTTTTGGAAACCTTGGTGGTACAGTTTTTATTCTA